ACAAGAATGTGGGGGTGTCATGGGATTATTGGCCTTGAGAAGCTGACGCTGGCTGAGCCCTGCATGCTTCTGGGTTGCTATGTAGCCAAATAAAGCTTACCCTGAGCAAGACGCTGGCTGAGCCCTGCATGCTTCTGGGTTGCTATGTAGCCAAATAAAGCTTACCCTGAGCAAGTGCGATGTGGATCCTTCTGTTCCAAATGCACTGACTTCCTGCTGAAACCCGCAATCCCAGGTGAGGGGGAGAGAAGGTGAGATCCTTCCAGAGCCCCAGACCTCACGTTAAAGGCAGCAGCTGCAGCAGACCCAGAGGACTTCTGGAGGTGAGATGTGACTCGGGGAGTCATTCCTCGTGTGGGAAACAGCTCAGAGGGACATGGGCTATTAAAGTGTTGGCAAATTCAGCTTCTGTAATAAAGCAGAAGGTTAAGTCCATGTCAGAGGGGGTTGTGTCTAAAAATTGAGATAATGTACATGAATGTATTTTAAAGAATATATTACAAAGGTGATAAAATACCACCTAACTTAAAAAGCATACTACATAAATCTACCAATAACTTTGTATTAATTTGAGGAAAAAGGAGCTTTAGAAATAATTGAATTCTTTTTATAATGCCATTTTAAAATTAACTAGAGTTTTTATTGAGAAAATATCTACACAGAGTTGACAATTCAAATACAAGAGAATAAAAATAAGATAAATCCTCTCTCCCCTCAGAGCATTCATCCCCATCCTTTCAAAAATGTTTTCAAAAATTACATATATTCATCTTTTTGAATTTTATTTTGTAAATACTTGTTGCTTATGTTTAGGAAATATTATGAAATTTTGTAATCTGCCATTTTACTGAAGGATGTTTTACTAAATTCTCTTGATGTTTCTAATGGTTTGATTTGGTTTTCTTGGGTGAAGGCTCTTTATGAAGTCTTGCATAGTGTTTATTCATTCTATTACTACAATCATCATCAATAGCAGTAGTAGAGCATAGTGACTTGTAACAATATCAACTTTTCAGGCCCTCCATTAATCCTATTGTTGTATGTAAAGAGTCAGAGCAATTCAGGAGCACCCAGAAGAGGTGATCCACAACTGACAGTAGGAAAAAAATCATTCATTCATTCATTCATTCATTCAAGAAAACATTTATAGATGACCCACTCAATAACAGACATTTAACTGTGGACAAACATACAAAAATAGTCAAGGTATAGGAAGAAACAAAGAAAGTTAACTTTTATTGAGTGTACCAATCACCTGAAGCACCTCATCCCATATAATTCTCCCAAAGCAATTTATTGGATGTATAGTGTTAATCTTGTTTTTATAAATGTGAAGCTCACACTCAGAGGCCAATTTCTTTGCTCAGGGTAACACAGGGACAGATCTGAGATTGAATTCCAGACCTGTTCAATTTTACAGTCTCTCTTTTCTTCTACCTTAGATCCCTGTCATTCAGAAAAAGCCCTAAACTTGAATTCTTAGGTTGTCTCCTGAGATCAGCACTGTGAGGGAATCCTATGCAGAGGAATCAAATGCCTCCTGTGGTTGGAAGAGGTACTGAAGAATGACTGGGTGTTGACCAGAAAACCAACAGGTTGGAGGACAAGGTATTCCAGAAATAGGAAATAGTGTGTACAAACAAAAGGGGCCATGAGAACCCAGCCGGTGTGGCTTGGTGGTTGAGCATTGACCCATGAGCCAGGAGGTCACAATTTGATTCCCGGTCAGGGCACATGCCTGGGTTGTGGGCTCCATCCCCAGTAAGGGGCTTGCAGGAGGCAGCTGATCAATGATTCTCTCTCATCATTGATGTTTTTATCTCTCTCTCCCTCTTGTGGAAACATCTAATTTAGGGAATGATTTAAAATGTAGTTATGACTTGCTAAATCTGAAATGTAGTGACCTGGGAGAAGTAAGTTAGTGCTAAAACTATAAATTTTAGCCAGAATGTGGAGGGCTAACATGCCATGTGTGGTAGATCAATACAACAATAGTATATCAGGGGATGACATTTATTTTTTTCTTTTTTTTAACTTTATTGAGATGTAATTCACATATGATGAAATTTATGCACATGAAGCATACAGTTGGGAATATGAATCCAGAGAAAGGGTGTGAGTCTAATGGAGATAGGGATTCAGAAGTCCTCAGAGTGTGTGGGAGGTGGGTGTGTATGGGTCCATCTGGGCATAGTGTGCAGGAGAGGGAAAGAGCTTTGAGGACAGAGAAAAGTTAAGCTTTATTAGGCAAGTGAGGAAGAGAAGCCCACAGGGGACATAAGGAAGGAGAGACCAGAGAGGTGGGAGAGCACTGGAGTTTGTCCTTCACAGAAGCACAGGTGAGGACGGTTCAAGGAAGAGGTGGCATCTAATGCCTCACTGAGAAGGCAAACACAAAGAGGACTGGGCAAGTGCCCAGGAAGTTTTGCGAGAGCATGGTGAATGTGGATACATGGGTAGCGGGCCAATGAGGGTGATGAAGGTCATGAAAGGGAGGTGAGGAAGTGGAGTCAGTGAGGGGAAACTGTCCTTCCTACAGACTTTCCAACTCCATGGCAAGATCCACAAATTCTCTCTTATCCCACAAACTGGAACAAGCTGTAAGCACTAAAAATAGCCCCATCCTACCTGGAGAGTATTATGCTGAACGAAATAAGCCAGTCAGAAAAAGACAAGTATCACATGATCTCACTCATACCTAGAGACATAGAAACATGAACAGACTGTTGAACCTCAGAGGGAAGGCAGGGGAGGGTGGGTGGGAAGAGATCAACCAATGAACTTGTATGCATATTTGCATATTCGATGGACACAGACAATGGGATGGTGAGGGCCTAAAGGTGGGGATGGAAGCAGGTTGAAAGAGGTTAATGGGGGGAAAAGGAAGACCTATGTAATACTTTCAATGATACAGATTTTTTAAAAATAGCCTCATCCTTTCCAGGGTACAGTTTAAGTGGTACATGAAACTCGGGGTTCCCTCAGGTGGACCTTCACATCAACCATCTCTGTTGTTTTTAGGAACCCAGGGTGAAAACGGGGTATTCTGAGGCTCCACAGCAGATGGCCACAGCTAAAAGAGCTTAAAGGCTCTGGTCATATCTCAGATTGCTTCTGAGCTATGTTAGCCAGAGAGTTCTGTTGTGACATTTGTAATCTAAACTGTGATGAAGACCCATGGCTAACCAATTTCAGGACAACCTGCAGATTTACTCAGATGGAGGCTCTTTATTGAGAGTTTGTCAGTACTTTTAGGTCAAGAAGAGCTGAGCCCTGGGATGATGCCTTTTGTCATGGTTTGGGTGATGTGTCTATTGCTTGGTAATTGTACTTGGAGTCCATAACAATCCCTCTTTCCTTAGCAATAACCCAGAATCAGCACAGTTGGATAAGCCCAATCCTAGAACACTGAATTTTTCTTGCTGCCAGAGTTGAAAGAATGATTCTTTACCCTGGTCTGCATGGAGAGCCACCCTGGGAAAACTTGAGTCCTCTGTGGCTTGGGGTGGAAATATCTTACCATGTTATAGTGACCAGCACAAGTCAAGTACGTCAAGACTTCTCTACAACTGAGATCTTTGACCGGCAGAACTTCAGTATCCTGGCCAAACCCCAGTAGTTGAGTTAAGAGTATACACCCCATCTTCTCAGATTTGGCCTCTCATTTTACAGACAACTGAGGGCACATGAGGCCATCTAGAAATGTGACCCCAGAAATACTACTAATTTTCTCTAGAGAAAAATTGACATAATGCTGTTCTTCCATTCTATACAGCCTTTCTTCACTCTGACATTGACCAAAATAACATTCTTTCAGACTTTAATGAAAAACCCTATAATCTAATTTGTGCCCTGTCGTGCAAAGTTTCTATACTTTCCAGCAGAAAAACACATTTAATTATATATATTCTTTTTTTAAAAAAATTTTAGGCATTTATTTGAGATAGAGAGAGAGATATTTGTTGTTCCACCTGTTTATGCATTCAGTGGTTGCTTCATGTTCATTGGTTGCTTCTTGTATATGCTCTGACAGGGGATCAAACCTGTAACCTTGGCTCTAACCAACTGAGCTACCCAACCAGGGCCAATTATACAAATTGTTTAAACAATTACAATAAATGTTTTCTCGTATATACTGGTTCTTTTAAAACCAAAGATAATAAATAATATATTTCAAAAAACTTCGGTTTGGCCAAAAGAATAAGCACTACTGATTTAATACAACTTGAAAATTTTGTGGAGTCACTTCATTCTTTTGATTATATTGTTTCCTGTATGTAAATAGATTGACAAGGTCTCATTTATCACAGTTACTTCTCCTTTGGACAATTCCCATTTCCTGCCATTTTAGCCTTGTACTTGTACAAAAACATTGAAACAGGGAGCATTAGACAACTGGTTGAAAAAAGCAATCAATTACATGTGTAAATAATCTATTGGTAAGTAGGGTTGCTTATGCACGGGATCCAGTGAGGGAATGGATAAAATAGGTTTGCATAAAATAGCACTATAAGAATGCACACACTCAAGCCTATTTCTATTCAGGTGGTGACTGAAATTCCTGGAAGTGCTGTCTGGTTATGGAGCAAAACCAGGTGCTGATAACTGCTTCACCATGTGGCACTGAGGGGCAAAGGCTTGGGGACCAGCATAAATTAATCACAGGCTTTTAGGTTGTCATCATGTTCCTTGGGTCTGGCTTTAGTGGATTCCAAAGCAAATACTGGGAGAGAAAGGCCATTTTGGTTTCGGCGGGCTCTCTTTGATGTCAGGAGCCTACTGACTCATGGAGCAGGAATCCACTGCACCTGGCAGATGCGCTCTTGTGGGAAAGGAGTTTTAAGGGACAAATCAGCCTGAGATAAGCTCTCAACCACTGAGAGAGCCCAACGGGCAGAGCTGACAAGTGTGAGGAGCCTCCGGTGTTGAGGAGTGGGCCCAAGATCCTTCTACTGAGGGCATTTGCCTGAAATAGTCCCTGAGTAGAATTCATTTACTGTTCTTTGATCAGCCTTTGAAAGAAACACACTTTATACCTCAGACCAGCACAGCTATGAGAATCATGCATGATCGCCATTTGCCAGTTTGCTGAGTGAACTTGAGAGAGCAAGTTAACAAGAACTCCAAGTTTGATATTCTGTTTCTTGTCCAAACACACCCAAGGAGAGCTGCCCAGGCAAACTAGTCTGTTGACAAGCCCAACAGAAGGCAAACTGAGATAATCCTCCTTAATCAAAACATTTAATGGAACTGAACAGCACTTGTATTACATTAAAATGATAAAGAATAGATATGGTCAAATATTTTGAAAATTGCGTTTGACGTTATTAAGCACTCGAGTCTTAGTTTTCTATTTGTTTAGTTTGAAATATTTTGTTCATTTGTAACATAATTCATTCAAGAAAGTCTTTGATGCAGTTTACAAAAACATGCACCCTACAAGAAGATAAAATTTACACAGTAGAAGATGTCCAGGCTCTGATTGAGAGTTGCTCCCCATGCCTAATTCTATCTGTTCCACCTTCAACTGGAACTCCCAGGAAATGAAGGAGATGGTGCAAAGCCTCTAGAACTAGAATCAAGGAGTTTGGTTACTGAGCCCACTGTAGAACTTTCAAAAATGCTTATCTCTAGCCCAGTCAGTGTGGCTCAGTGGTTGAGCATTGACCTATGAACCAGGAGGCCACAGTTTAATTCTTTGTTGGGGCGCATACCCAGGTTGCAGGCTCAATCTCCAGGGCGGAGGGCCAGCAGGAGGCAGCTGATCTCTCTCCTGCTGTTTCTAGCTCTCTCCCCCTCTCCCTTCCTCTCTGAAATCAATAAAAATATATTTTTAATAATGCTCATCTCTAAAGCTCTGAAACAACATCAGTCTAGAGAGAGGGGAGAGAGGAAGCTGTTTGCATTTGCCCCATCTGTGTGGTTCTTTCTCAGAGACCTGGTCCCAGGGGTCAAACAGAAAGCCTGTCCACCAACCCCCAGTAAGAATATTTGCTTTATGATATGCTCAAGTCTTTCCTTACACAGTCATTCCCCTCTTTTAGCTACTCAATTGGAATTTCCATTTTGCTACATCCACCAAGGACACTGGTACTTGGGTGAAAATGTTTATATGGCAATTCACTGCATTTTTGGATTCAACTCAACAGCAGAGATGATGGAAATAAGTAGGAGCAATAGACTACCTCCTTCTGAGGACTGCCAATGTGCAAGACACATCTTTAGCAAAGATGAATAGAAGAGCAGTGTGTGCATCCAATTACCCAGGAGCTCATTCTCCTCTTCATGTTCGGCACATGGAGCAGTATCATCCCAGTTCACAAAGACATGCAAATTAGATTCCTGATAGGCAAGAGGATTTCAACCAGAGGCAGCACACAACCACCAGGCCTTCAGCTTAAAATCTTGCAGGTGGAAAAAGGGGATTAAATTCTACCCAGCTATTGGCAAAGAACCCTGAAAAAATATGTATATTTATTCTATGCTCTGGATAAAATGTAAGATATCATGAAGTTCATATGATGGAGATGAACATATGAAAGAAGTTGAGGTGGATTTAGATAAAAGACTGGACAAAAAGTAAAAGAAATGTAGGAATGCCGAAAACCATCACAGAATTAAAATATGTACCATAAACAGTAAAAAAGAGAGAGTTGGCAAAAGAAAAAAAATGACCTGAAGGCCAAACTCCATCAGCTTTCTAATAAAGTAGAATGAATATACAAAGTAGAATAGGATGAGAGGGAATATAATGAATATCCAGAAAGGACAATCCAATTTCTGACCAATTAGCATTCTGTGAAATAAAAACTACAAAGAAAATGGAGCAGGAAAAAAGTTATAAAATAGAAGAATATCTTTCTGAGGTTATTAATATATGGAAGAAAACCAAGATAACAGCATAAACACTGGTACTTGCCACCTTATACAATCATATAAAATTACAACTAAAATATAGAACAATCATCATTCAGAACAGCCTTAAACGGAAGTCCTACAAACTAGAGAATTAAAGAAGAAAGAAAAATGAGACTGGGAGGAGGGGCAGAGGCGTGAAACAGGCTGTTCCAATACTCACGTGTGGCATGTTTTTAATAGAGGGGATATCTCTGCTGCAGAGAGCTCCCATAAGGAGCAAGGGTTCCCAGCCCCACACCATACCCCTCAGCACAGGGTTTCGGTGCTGGGAATAGAAGCCCCTGTAACTTAGGGCTATAAAAACCAGCATGGATTGTGGCTGAGAGACATGGAGGCTGCTGGAGATCCAGGCAGTTCCTCTTAAAGGGCTGGCACTTGGGTTTACTTGGACTCACTCTTTCTGAGTTCTAGTGCTGGGGCAGTGGCTTGAGGGGATCCAGAGACATACCAGGAGGAAATGGACTGCTTGGCACCCAGGCAAGAACTCCGGGGTGGCTTTCTCCCAGACAAAAGCTGGCAGAGGTCATTGTTCCTATGCTGAGACCTCCTCTGTTGTAGAGGGCAATGGTAGGCACCATAACTGAGTTTTCATCAGCCTGGCTCACACTGCTCCACCTGAGTGATTCCCTAAGATCCCACATCATCCAGTTTGCAGCCTCATCCAAGCTGTTTGCAGCATCTTTTCCATATGAATGGCCTGTCCTAGCTCAGGCTTAAGACTTTTCTAAAATCTATCAAACAAGCAGCAGCTGGCATTAGTGTGCCCTATTCTTCACAATTAGAGATCCCAACCTGGGCTCTAGCACCAGCCGACTTTGTTTCACAGCTTGGCCTCTCCTAGGCACTCCCAAGCCCAATACAAGTAACAGCCAGCTGCAGATCACTCTGTAGCTCCTAAGGGGTGGCCCCAGGCAGGACCTAGGCAGTGGCTGACTTTGAACCTCCAGGGGAACCTAGAGTAAGTGCACTGGTGGACAGTTTCAGACCATTCCAGATTATAACTCTACACAGCCATGAACAACATACTCAAGGGGCAGACTCATTGAGCACCAAAGCCCCATTGAAGCAAGTCATGCTCCATAGGAGTGTCTCCTGCACAATAGCTCTTCCAATGTAGTCACAGCTGGTCCTCACAGCCAATAGACTCGTGGTCAATTCCTTGAAGTGATGCCAACAGCAATCAAGGCTCAACTACAACAAGACTGTGCACACAGCCCACACAGGGGTGCACCTAGTGTTCCTAGCTCAGGGGACTGGGGAGGCTGAGCCACTGGACTCTACTACACAAGGCAACTCTACCAATTCTAGGAGTCATAACAGCCCTACATAATACACAAAAATAAACACAGGGAAGCAGCCAAAATGTGGAGACAAAGAAACATGTCACAAATAAAAGAACAGAAAATAATCTTTAGAAAAAGAATAAATAAAATAGAAACAAGCAAACTACTAGATACATGGTTCAAAACTATGATTATAAGGTTGCTCAAGGATCTTAATGAATGAGAACTTCAAGGGACTTAGTGAGAATTTCAAGGATCTTAGTGAGAATTTCAAGGAAATTAGTGAATACATCAAAGACAGGAAAATGGACCAGTCAGAATGAAGAATACAGTAGCTGAAATACAGCATAATTTATCAACAGTAGAGTAGAGGGTGCTAAGAATCAAATCATCAATTTGGAATAAGAGGAAACATATACTCACTGATTAGCCAATGAAAAGGGTAGCGGTCGTACGCCAATTACCATGTTTCTCTTTTATTAGTGTAGATGGAAGAAAACCAAGATAACAGCATAAACACTGGTACTTGCCACCTTATACAATCATATAAAATTACAACTAAAATATAGAACAATCATCATTCAGAACAGCCTTAAACGGAAGTCCTACAAACTAGAGAATTAAAGAATAAAGAACAATGAGACTGGGAGGAGGGGCAGAGGCATGAAACAGGCTGTTCCAATACTCACGTGTGGCATGTTTTTAATAGAGGGGATATCTCTGCTGCAGAGAGCTCCCATAAGGAGCAAGGGTTCCCAGCCCCACACCATACCCCTCAGCACAGGGTTTTGGTGCTGGGAATAGAAGCCCCTGTAACTTAGGGCTATAAAAACCAGCATGGATTTTGGCTGAGAGACATGGAGGCTGCTGGAGATCCAGGCAGTTCCTCTTAAAGGGCTGGCACTTGGGTTTACTTGGATTCACTCCTTCTGAGTTCTAGTGCTGGGGCAGTGGCTTGAGGGGATCCAGAGACATACCAGGAGGAAATGGACTGCTTGGCACCCAGGCAAGAACTCCGGGGTGGCTTTCTCCCAGACAAAAGCTGGCAGAGGTCATTGTTCCTATGCTGAGACCTCCTCTGTTGTAGAGGGCAATGGTAGGCACCATAACTGAGTTTTCATCAGCCTGGCTCACACTGCTCCACCTGAGTGATTCCCTAAGATCCCACATCATCCAGTTTGCAGCCTCATCCAAGCTGTTTGCAGCATCTTTTCCATATGAATGGCCTGTCCTAGCTCAGGCTTAAGACTTTTCTAAAATCTATCAAACAAGCAGCAGCTGGCATTAGTGTGCCCTATTCTTCACAATTAGAGATCCCAACCTGGGCTCTAGCACCAGCCGACTTTGTTTCACAGCTTGGCCTCTCCTAGGCACTCCCAAGCCCAATACAAGTAACAGCCAGCTGCAGATCACTCTGTAGCTCCTAAGGGGTGGCCCCAGGCAGGACCTAGGCAGTGGCTGACTTTGAACCTCCAGGGGAACCTAGAGTAAGTGCACTGGTGGACAGTTTCAGACCATTCCAGATTATAACTCTACACAGCCATGAACAACATACTCAAGGGGCAGACTCATTGAGCACCAAAGCCCCATTGAAGCAAGTCATGCTCCATAGGAGTGTCTCCTGCACAATAGCTCTTCCAATGTAGTCACAGCTGGTCCTCACAGCCAATAGACTCGTGGTCAATTCCTTGAAGTGATGCCAACAGCAATCAAGGCTCAACTACAACAAGACTGTGCACACAGCCCACACAGGGGTGCACCTAGTGTTCCTAGCTCAGGGGACTGGGGAGGCTGAGCCACTGGACTCTACT